CCAATTAATTCAATTTCTGTCTTCATGAAAATAGTAGCTACTGTAGCTTCTATTACCTAAGCAACCTCTCTGGCATGTGCGCATGCACAGAAGATGCTTTCACAAAATTAAAAACTTGGGCCAGAAGCAAAAAGCTTTGTTGATAGCATTAAGATGCAACTTGCTGAAAGCCAGCAAAACAATGTATGTTAACTGCTATCTGTGTAAGTAACCAGATTATATATTTCTGCACTTACAGCAGTTCAGTATATTCAATATATCAGTATTAACCCGTTCCTATGCTCTACAGCTCTAACCTTCTTTCTAAATTTGCTCTCTCAGATTTCTTTTTAAGTTTCTTGAATTAGTCCATTACAGCCAGTGTTTTCTGAACAGCAAATTCACTTATCCCTGCTTCACTCTCTGCCTTGCCAGTCTAACTTCTACTAAGATTTATTTACTAATACTAGTATTTCCATCTCCCAACCCCCTAAGATTTGCTAGGCCTTACACTTTTCTTCCACATGTAAAAAGGGAATTATTTTGTCCTGAGTACTGCATTGACTAGGTGGACACACTGCTGTAAGTAAGCACAGATGCCCATGCAGAGCTCTCCTTTCTCCCACCGTCTAACCGCTTTCATGCGGATATACATTTGGCTAAATTGAATCTTAACCCATTAGTTAGCTATAACTAACCACAAAGTTTCAGAACCCCAAGGATCTAGGTTGTTAAAAAATAATGCCAGAGAATAATCTCTCTTCCTGCCTCTGAAGAAAATACAAAACCAGTTCAAATGTAAGTTCTTATAGATTACTTATAGCAACAAACATACTGACAGCATTAACACATTTTCACAGGCATTACCTGGAATATCCCAGCAGGTCTGTTGCTATTTTGCAGTCAATACATGAAGGGTACCTCTTTAGGAAATAGTCATAGAGCTGAAAATCATCTACTTCTGGAGTCAGCTCCCCAACAAATATTGAATAGTCCGGTCTTTAAAAAGGTAAGAGAACCACCATTAAGTTTGAAAATAACAGTTCACGTCAGTATAAAGTCCCTAACATACAAGCAAGTAGTTATCACTGAACAAATAAGGAGACAAAATATGAAGAGAGTATTAACTGCAAAACTCTGCTAAGCACTGTACAGAACTGCAATGCCATCCACTCCAGCAAGTTCTTAATTTCTCTGAGTCCATTCTACCACTTCTGCAAGCATTTCAATAAAGACTAAAGATTCTTTGATAAATTTGAGAAGTGGGTTTTAGAAACTTATTTGTTGCCTGAAGGGCAGGACACCCAAAAACACCAAGAAAAAAAATATTAAGTTACAGCCAGAATTCAAGACCTAAGACTATTTTGACACCGCATCTCAAGTGATTATGAGAGAGACAAACCAGGAAAAAAAAAAATCTTCATTATTCAAATGGCAATACAATTCCATAAACAATACTCAGTATATAGGCACCAGGTGTGCCATTTCAGGATTTTAAAATTAATTGATGACATTCACTAGTCATTAGCAATTTAAACAGATAAAGGGTCAGAACTGCTCCTTTCTAAAGGTCTTTACCTGGTTGTGTTAGTACTACTAGGGACAAACTCTATTCTTCCTGGTTTTATTTTGTTCTTTTTCTTCCGTTTCTTCTGGGGTGTTCTCCACCAGCTGTAGGCCTGGAGACATTCTCTTTTTTTTGCCATCAAGTCCTGTAGGGAGAAAAAAATGACCTTTATAGTATTTAGCCTCATTTACATTCCTCCCTCCCACTCCCCATCACCACAGGTGATTTCCCCATATTCACCTTGCCCTTGAAAGAAGCCTGGGGTCCCATTTCTCCCTCCGCCTCCCATGAGGGAAAGCAGCCTCTGGGGAAAACGCCTGGCAAAAATAACAGAGCCAAAGGATTGTATGAACAGCCATATTCCCCTGACTTGTCAAGCTGGCTAAAGGATTGACAGCTTCCTCTGGGAATTAGGGACAAACCAGATAGCCTTTTGATGCTGGCCAATCCTAAATGTTAATTAGCTTCAGGACTGGACCGTGTTCCGCTTGAGCTCCAGGATGCAAAAAACCCTGCCGCAGCACAATCCGCACGATGAAGAGGCAGGGAAATTGTCACTCTTGCCTAGAAGGAATCTCCACTGTCCCTATCTCCCCTCACCTAGGAATTCTTCAGTGAGATGCCTCTCCTCACTACCCAGCAGTGAGTTACTCTCCCAGGCCAGGAACAACAACAAGAGGCCGATTCATGGAATTTAAGGAGAAAGCAGACCAGGATCAGGCACTAGATCGGCTGAGGGAAAACTCAAACCCAGATGCAAGGCAAGGAGGAAAGAGGCATAAAAAGTGCCCCTCAGGGAATTTAAAAAAAAAAAAAAGGAAAAATTAAGAAAAAAAGAAAAAAAAAAAACACTAAAACCCCAAAAAACACAGCTCAAAAAGGAAGTGAGTGGGGCAACTACACAAAAGAGATGGGGAAACAGCCTTGTTAACACCGGTTGCCTCCCTCAATGAAGATTCTGAAGAACAAGGACTTCGAAAAATAAGAATGATGTTCCATAGCATTTACTTACGCAGGCTTTAATGTTCTTCCTCTATAACATCTCCACATGTATCTTATACAGAGAGTGTTATGTGCAAGCTCCTTCAGAAGAACTTGCACTCAAACAATGTAAACTGCAAAGCTTAATGTAATGCCCCCCAACCTGCTTGAGTTGACACAATGAAGTGTCCTGAGGACAGTTGCCAGAAGAAATCTTAGGACTAAGAGAACATCCAACTCAGAGCAAGCTAGCTATGTCAGCTTTACATTTATTAGGAATTCTGAGTATGGTTCTGGAATCCATTTAGGCACTGCATGCCTGTATTTCTGACTAAATGATCTTACCTGGCTTGCCATGGTTCAAACTGTCTTCTGTCTTTCTCGAACAGTAAAACTGCACAGGTTCAATTTATTACACTCCTTCAGCTGAAAAAAATGTAGGGGAGAAGAAGATGAAGGACTTTATCCTCAATTACTTTCAAATATGTTCACCCCACCATATGTTTTAATGTTGTTAATTCAGAACTTAAAAAATTAAGTTCCAACTTGTCACTGCTTAAACATTGGAGATAAAAAGGATATATGGCTAACAGGATTATGATTAGATGTAATCTTCACTGTCCTAAACTGCAACAGACCACGAAGTTTTCCCACTGTCCAAAGCACTAGAAAATTCTAGAGATTGTTTAAGTCCCCTATACCTTACCCTTAATTCTGAAATACCTACATATAATAACCCAATAATCCAGAAGATTCTAAAATAGTTAAAAGCAAGGCAAAAGATGGGGGTTTCAGTATGTTTTGTATAACCTCGTCAGTTTCTTCCCCTTTTAGCCAAATTTAAATTTACTTGTACCACAAAATATGCAGCTGAAAACAGGCAGTGGTACACTTCCTATGTACGAAGGGATATGAGAAATAAAAGCAGGATGAAGGCACAGCACAAGCAAACATCTTTCTCTGCACCTTTTCTCCTCCCTCTCGCCTTCACATACACATTCCACTCATTACAATCAAAACCAAAACCAGCAAATAACATCTTACTGCTATCACTAAACCAGTGGACACACTTTCCTGAAGAGCTATGTATCTTCATTGATCCCAATATCCTTTCTTTAGGCTTTTTCCCCTAGTCATCCAACAAATATAAATCAGTGCAAAAACTAATTTCCTTTGCAAAATACTCTGCATCTACTTTCACACACAGGCGTTCTTCGCCCCTACCGATTTTTTACATCTGGTGTATCCTGTGCAGATACTTGATGCCCAAAGTTCTAGTTCCCATTTCCACGCAGGAATTTATTTATGTAATGTTTTAGATCCTGGCTGATTAAATCCACAGCCACATAATGCAATAAGCACAGAGCATCTACAATGCCTTCAAGGCTTGCCTGCAGAGTTCAGAGCACTACTTGGATTAGACTAATTTGACACAGCATAGCCATAAATCATAATTAGAGCATCCATGCATGGTGCTATTCAGAATAACTATGGACTTCATATCACAGCCGTTGTGAAGCCAAGAAAAGAGTCAAGCACAAACAGGTCTAAAATACTAGTAAGGTTAGTGTATGCTACACTGAGCACATGCTAACTGAAAGTAATTGTGTTCACTATAAAGAATTATCAGCAGCAAACTCTTCCTCTTAAGGCTTGTCATTACTAATACAAATATCCACGTAACAACGTTCTTGTAACGTTAGCTTTCAATAGAAAGAACCATGAACTCCTCCATGCTCTCAACACTGAAATACTGATTTTTGAATTCACAACTGTGCAGAAACTTTTCTTAAACTTACCACTTTTCACTCCTGCAGACCTGATGGAAGATGGCACGCACGACAGAGTGCTCCTGTTGCAAGAGGCTATCAGGAGGCAAGTGATACAAGGGCTTCTCGGTAGGTTATCACCAACTTTTATGAAAAACGGTTTTGTACACCTCCCTGTCCAATGTTTGCCTTTTCACTAGAAAACAAGATCATTTTAAAAGCAGTTGAAACAGCATGTACTGATATAATACATTTTTTTACATTTACTTTAACTGTATCTACAGTCACAGGTAGCTTTCATTTAAGCAGCTTCAACCTCCAGAATTCAAACGCATCTTTAATTGGATTACACACACACACCATAGCAGCTTTTTATTTTATTCCACTTTCTTTCATTAGTGTGCTCATACGGCAAAAAGGTGGGCGAAGCTGTTCACGGCCCTAATCGTCCGTGCAAACACCGCTCAGGCAGGCAGCGGGCAATCCCCCCGCCCCCTTCCTTTGGCACTAATTTCCCTCATACGAGGCGCTGGGGCAGGGCACGGGGATGAGGGCGCCTCCCTGAGCTCTCGGGGCCGGCGCGGTGACCCCGGCCGAGCCCAGGCCCGAGCCGTGACGCATTTCTCTAACCGAGCCCTCGGCACGACGGGAAGAGCCCGACCACAAGTGCGCCCCGCCCGGCCGCGGCCCTCCATAAGTGGCCACACTGGCGCCAGGGCCGCGCTTCCTGCTTATCGTACTACGCGATAAGAAAATAAGTAATGAAAAAATATAAAACGACCCGACGAAATAACAAAAGCCAGCGGGGCCCGGGGCTGGGGAGGGGCTCGTTCTCTGGTGCCTCGGCCCAAGCGCAGCCGGGGCCTCCTCGCCCAGCGCGCCCTGAGGGAGGGGGGGGCCCCGCGGCCCCGGGGAAGGGAACGGGCCGAACATCCCAGCCCAACCCACCCCGCCTCGTTCCCAATAGATCGGTCCGCGCCCCTTTTCCCCGCTAGCCCCCGATCCCGAGCACCGCTCCCCCTCCCCCCCTCGCCATCCCGGCACTAACGCCTCTCGTCCTCCCCGCCGCCATCACCGCCAGCGCCGCTTCCGCCCCGCGAGGCCCCCCCTGCGCAGGTTGTCCCGCGCGCAGCCTGAACCCTCACCGCTACCTCCCGCGCTTCCCGCTCCGCGGCGGCTCCCAAGGGATTCTCCTCACCCGCAGGGAGCGAGCGCTGCCGGACGCCAGGCGCGGGGCTAGCGCAGAGCGGCACAGGCAGCGCGGCGGACGGGCGGAAGAGCCAGCGGGAGCCCCGGGGCGGCGCCGTGCGGTGGCGGATGGAGCTGGTGGCGGGGTGCTACGAGCAGGTGCTGCTGGGGTTCGCCACGCGGCCCGGCCAGGTAACGGGAGCCGGGGGAACGGGGTGGGGGGGGGGGAGGGAGGGAAGAAGCACAGAACGGTCTGGGTGGGGAGGGACCTTGGACCATCTCGTTCCAACCCCTTGCCGCGGGTAGGGACATCCGCTACGAGACCAGCGTGTTCGGAGCCCTATCCAGCCAGGTCTCGAACGCCTCCCGGGAGGTGTGTGGGGAAATGCCCCGCCCGCCCCTCTGGAAGCGCGCCCCGGCACTCACCGTCTCGCCCGTCCGCAGCCGCGGTTCCGGGAGCCGCCGGGGCTCTTAAAGCGCGTTGCGGGGGCGGGGCGGCCTCTCCGCGGCCTCTGCCGCCAGACTCGGCCCCCTCGCTGGCCCGAAGGGCTCCCGGCAGCTACGGCGGAGCCACGTGCGTGCGGGGTCCGCGGTGCGAGGCCGCTCCTCCCGGCGCGGTGCGGAGGATGGATGGGACGTGGGCTGGGGGCAGGTGGAAGGCGTGTCTCCAGCCTGCCGTGATGGAAAACGAGAGAGTCCGCCTTTCCTGCTCTTGGGATTTATCTCTGTGCAGAGATAGCTTCGTCTAAGCACAGCACTGATTACGAGGGGTGGTTTGCACGCTTAAATCCTTTGGACTAATCTTCTAACAGCACATTAACTCAGGAAGATCCCATTACGCTTACAGCTAAGTATAATTCCTCTGCCTGTACTCATGAGGTGCTCGAGTGCTGTGTTCAGTTCTGGACCCCTCAAATCAGAAAAGACATTGAGATGCTGGAGCAAGTCCAGAGAAAGGCAGTGGAGCTGCTGAAGGGTCTGGAGCACAAGTCCAATGAGGAGGGACTGAGGGAGCTGGGATGTTTAGTCTGGAGAAAAGGAGGCTCAAGGGGACCTCACCATTCTCTACAACTGTATGAAAGGAGGCTGTAGCCAGGTGAGGGTTGGCCTCTCCTCTGAGGCAGCCAGTGACAGGGCAAGAGGACATGGCCTCACACTGTGCCAGCTGACATTCAGGTTTGGCATTCAGCCTTCATCAAGCAAGAATTTCTTCATAGCAAGGGTGATTAGACATTGGAATGCCCTGCCCAGGGAGGTTGTGGAGTCACCATCCATGGAGGTTAAGGAACTCAGTGCCGTGGTCTGGTTGACAAGGTGATGTTCAGTCATGGGTTGGACATCATGATCCCAGAGGTCTTTTCCAACCTATTTGATTCTGTGATTCTGATTTTTGCACATATACTTTTTCAGCTTTTGCTTTTAAAAAATAAAATTATGGGACAACGAAGTGGAAGCTTTCTGTGGTAAGCTTGAGAAAGACATGTTTGTTTTGCATTTCGTTTACAGTCTTGGACAGTCGTCCCTGATTTTACACATCATGCCCACACTGCCTCATTGTCAGCAGTAGCAGTGAATAACAGATATGTGGTCACTGGAAGCAGAGATGAGACAATCCAAATCTATGACATGAAAAAGAAGATTGAACATGGGGCGCTGCTACAGCACAATGGTAAGGGATCATTTCTTTGTAAAAAACCTTTATGATAAAAAATTGTAGCTGAAAAACTGGCCCTTGCTAGAAGAAAACTTGTTTTTTTTCTAATAAGACTCTAGTAGTGGTGGTGTTGCAGCCATGATGGTGTGATCATATAAACAAGGTAAGCTTTTGAGCATAGAAGGTAAAAACAATTATTCTGGTATTAGCTCACAAATGCTGCTGCTTCTTTAAATTATTTGTAGTTTTAAGAAGTGATTAAGAAGTTATGAGCCACAAATGGCTTATGTGCTATTTTTCTTCTATCAGGATGGTTTATCTAGATCATGCCTACTCTCAGCTGTCTTTCCCAGTGTTCTTGCCCTGTCACAAGTGTACATGAACCCCACAAAAGAGAGTTTGTGTGGGAAAGCAGGCTGCTGCTGTCAGAGGAGTTAACCTGGTACATTTCCCCCTGTGTGTGCTGCCTGAATTACAGCTTCAAAGTACATGATAGAGTCACAGAACAGTTTGGATTGGAGAGGATCTTTTAAATGTCGTCTAGTCCAACCCTACTGCTGTGAGCAGGGGCATCTTCAACCAGATCAGGTTACGCAGAGCTCCATCCAATTTGGCCTTGAGCGTTTCCAAGGACAGAGTATCAACCACATGTCTGGACAGCTGTTCCAGTAAAAACTGCTGTCCTTGTAAAAACACTTCCTCCTTACATCTAATCTAAATTGACCCTCTTCAGTCTAAAACCATTGCCTTGTCCTATCACAACAGGTCCTGCTAAAAGGTTTATCCCTATCTTTCTTCTAAGCCTCCTTCGAGTACTGGAAGGCCACAATAAGGTCTCCCTGCAGCCTCTTCCCATCTGAAATATTCCAGTTCTTTCAGGTTTTCCTCACAAGCAAGGTGTTCCATCTCTCTGGTCATCTTCATGGCCCTTCTCTGGACTTGCTTCAACAGGTCCACATCATTCTTATGCTGGGGACATGTTGGAGCTGGATGCAATGTTCCAGGTGGGGTCTCTGAAGAGCAGAGCAGAGGGGCAGAATCCCCTTCCTCAATCTGCTGCCCACGCTGCCTTAGATGTAGCCCAGGACACATTTGGCTTTCTGGGCTGGAAGCACACATTTCTAGGTCATGTCCAGCCTCTCATCTCTCAGCAAGCCTAAGTCCTTTTCAGCAGAGCTGCCCTCAATCTGTCCATCCCCCAGCCTGTGCTGCTACCAGCTTGCACTGTGCTTTGTGGAACTTGGAGGTTCAAGCCCACTGCTTGAACTTGTTCATGTCCCTCTGGATGGCATCCCATCCCTCACCACTCAGAGAGTTTGGTGTCATCTGTAAACTAGCTGAGGGTGCACCCTCTGTCTATATCATTGGTACAGTCATCTGTTAATGGCTGTGCAAATAAATCTGTTTGAGTCATTTGTAGCTCCGTATTGATTAATCAAAAAGATCCAGGAGCTAGACTGAGCATGGTAACTGCATTTAACTCATGTATGATACATCTGGTGATTATGGGGAAGCAGCAAGTGCAGTAAGTTCAGCTGTGTGTCAGGAGCAGGGCTTTGACTGGGAGCATTCCTATCACCAATAGAAGCTCTCTCTGCCCTGGTGTTTGAGTACTGCTGTGACAGAACAGACCAGATGGAGTGCAGACATGTGTGGGTAAAGGGTGCCTGATAGAGCATATCAGACTATTGAATATAGCAAGAAAGTTCGAGGGTTTTTTTAAAAAAATACTTAGGAAATCATTTAGATTTTCCCAAGGTTAGGGTAGTGGCTGGCATGCCTTGATGGAAGAAGCTTTTCTGTTAAGTTCTACATTCTCTGTTAATTTGTGCAATAACTGGTGTGTACAACATTGTTAATTGTATTTCTAGGCACGATAACTTCTTTGGAGTTCTATGGAACAGCACATCTACTGAGTGGGGCTGAAGATGGACTCATTTGTATCTGGAACACAAAGAGATGGGAATGTCTGAAATCCATTAAGGCACATAAGTAAATTTCTTAAATCTTCATGTTCACATACATTTTCATGACTATTTTCCTTGTAAATAATACATGTGACTAATGTTTTGTTTTCATCAGGGGACATGTAACATCTCTTTCTATTCATCCTTCTGGGAAATTAGCTTTGTCAGTTGGAACAGATAAAACATTAAGGTGAGTCAAAACTGATGAAAGAATGCTGAGAATCATAATTCAGTAACTCTTAATAAGGTGCTATAAGCAACAGTTCCATGTTGGGACTAGGCAACACTGATAAAACATATTTGTTATCAAATGGTTCAAAGATCCATCTGTTTGTCTTTTGAAGTTCTAAGTGCCAGCTGTTCATACCTTCTTCTTGTGAGCTCTGACTCTTCACAAGTCATTTGTAGATGTATAAATATGTTTGCATTTTGGAACACAATTTGCTTAAACTTTTGAAAAGTGACAGGTTTTGTTTAGTGTGATTTTTCACTTGGAGTGTTTCCATGTTGCTGTAGATACCTGTTTTAGAGATATAAAATGCTATTTTAATAGCACAAATATCTATTGGTCTCCTTTTGGGCTCAGTATTGCAAATGGTGGTTTAGAAAATAAATAACACAAGATCAACATTATAGCATGCAAGCAATATATTAACTCATCATTTTCTTTTGCATTAAGAAGGCAGAAAAATGCTTAGAGAGGCTTAAAAGCTTCCTTTGAGTGCCTCATGACAGCAGATTGGATTTCAGTTTTGCTGTGCTGTTTTTAACTAGAATGCACATTGCCTGTTGTTGTGTTTCAGAACTTGGAATCTTGTTGAAGGACGATCAGCCTTCATCAAAAACCTGAAGCAAAGTGAGTTTATCAATCTAAATCCACTAATTAAGTGCAAGTTGATAGTTTTATTTTTCGTGTAAAGAAAAGTTGACTGAATTAATCAAGTCAGTTAACTGCAAACTTATACAATGTCTTCTTTACACGTGAAGGCAAGCATATGTAAGCTCATGTACTTAATAGTAATTTAGCAAAAGGAAAACATAGTACCACTAAAGTAAATCCTTTCTTTCCTTGAAATTTGAGGTCAGAGCATTAAAATAAATGTGTTTCAGTTTGTTTTTCTTAACATGATTCTGATAATCAGAAATAAACATTTAAGAGCATAGCTCTTTATTCTATCTTATTTGATTTTTCACTGAATATATTTTCTTAGGTCTAGGTAGAAAACAGTGTCTAGCAGCTTCTAAAGATTCTTACTTTTAGATTCTCTATATCAATGTGTACAGATGCACACATAATTAAATGGTCCCCTGATGGAGAGAAGTATGTGACTGTGATAGCAAACAAAGTGGATATCTACAGACTTGACACAGCTTCAATCACTGGCACCATTACAACAGAGAAGAGGATTTCTTCACTTAGATTTATTACAGTAAGTACAAAAATGAGAGGTGTTGGGAAATGAACTGGTTTGAAACACATTAAATTAATCACACTTGCATTTCTTTTTCCCCATTCCAAGGATTCTGTCCTTGCCATAGCTGGAGATGATGAAATGATTAGGTTCTACAGCTGTGACTCTCAAAAATGCTTGTGTGAATTTAAAGCTCATGAAAACAGGTATTCTATATTTGTTTATTATTTAAATATTTGTGGCTGAGTCCTCTCTAAAGTTCTATGGCTTGTAATGTTCGGCATATTTTGCTTTTGTTTTAGTATAGAAAGTGAATTTATTTATGTGCTAAATTCCAAACAGTCTTGTTTGCTTTTTGTATGAGCACAAGTACTGTGTCCATGCATGTTACAAAAACAATAGGGTACAGAATTAAGAATATTGCTATTGTAAATTTGTGAGTGTGTGTACTTGTGTTTAACCAGTCTTTACTGAATCTGACTCTTTAGAATGCTTCAAAAAAACAAACTAGTTTTACTCAGTTCAAACAATAGGAGTGTAATTACATATTCTCTGTTTTTGAATACCAATTATTTGTCCAAATGTTGCTTTGAATTCACCAAAACAAAAAAGCATTAGCAGTAATGTCACTGATGTGTCTAATAGTGTATGCTGTACAGTACTAAAGAGTTCTGAATTGAATCCTAATTGCCTAGCAAAGGCAAATGTTCCTAATATAAATGACAGCACTCAAAGCAGATCCAAGTTCCTGCCTGTCACTTGGAGGATTTTTGTTCAAACTGATTTTTTAGACTGTTGCCTATTCATCTTTAATTTGTCTCAGCTTACTAGTCTGAAGTGAACCGCAATGCTGTAAGATAAAAATGTATTCTTTTTCACAGAATAAAAGATATTTACAGTTTTGAAAGAGAAGGACAGCATGTCATTGTTACTGCATCCAGTGATGGTTACATTAAAATGTGGAATCTGGATCTTGATAAGGTTGGTATATTACACTGCTTGTTACATTTAAGAAAATCAACAGAGAACCAAATTGCAGACAGTTCTGTTGTAAGAGTTCATTTTAAGAGGAAATTTTATGTGAAATGTGGATGTCTTGATCTTCTTCCATGTTATGCTCAGTAGAGATGTATGTCTATGCACATTTATTTATGCACTCGTGTTTTTTTCATCTTTGTATCTTTTCTTTTTTAACAAACTATAAAACCTGATTATATTATGATATTTCATCTCCACTTTTTGTACAGTCATGCTTTCCATCAGACCTAGCCGGGCTTATGACTATCTAATCAGTTATGTATGTTATGACTATGTAATTAGTTAAGGACTGCTGTGAATTTCTGTAATGTCGATGACTGTTGCTACTCTTCTGAAAACACAAAGTCTATGGTTTGGGCAGGGGAAGGTGGTTGTTCATGTCGGGGGAGGAACTTATCCTTTGGAAAAATTCAAATACATAAATGTTCTAAGTACTTGTATTTCCTGTATTTTCAAACAGTTCTGAGTAACACAGTTCAACAAGGAATCATGTCTTATCTTTAACGTTTATTGTGTTTATTGTTTGCTCTTAAAATCAGAAATAGATTTTTACAATTTATTGCTTAGTTACGAAGGATCTACTATATTTTATGATAAGTATCTTGGATAGTTCAAATAATTATTTCTCAACATATATACACTTCAAATCTGAATTTGACTGTTTTTAATTTCACCCACTCTGATTATTTTTATACTTGTAAGTGCAGGAGTGATCTCCCTTTTTCCTCTTCACCTTACGTTTCTGTTCCCCTTGTACAGAACTGACGGAGTGATCTTTGTCTTTCTGTGTAACATTGTATTTATTTTGACCAAATTCCTTTCCCTGCAGGCAAAGTTTTGCATAACTGTGTGGGCTGCTCTGTCCAGCTCTGAGGGGTAGAATATCCTAATACAGTAGTTTCCAGTGGGTTGATGCTGTTAACACTCCCCATGTGTCTGTGACACTTTATCCCCTGATATCTGTAATAGAATATTTGTATTCCAAAAGCTGAGTGATATAATTGCCTAACAATGAAAGTGGGCAGTAAGGTGCTTTCTCACTTCAAATACTTCATTAAATTTAACCAGAAATAAAATAAGGTTTAAATAATCTTCTTTTATGTTCAGATTAGAGATGGGCCATCTTTACTGTGTGAAGTCAATACCAAAGCTAGGCTGACATGTCTTGCAGTGTGGCTTGACCAAGCTTCAGAAATGAAAGAAAACTCTGATAAAACTGCATCATCATCTCAAGGTAACAGAACTTTGTATTTTGAATTGTTAAGGTGACTGTGAAATGGAATACACCAAGTGGGAGGCTTCTCCTATATCCACTGGAAAATGTTCTGGTATTTTGAAGTGGGGATATGATGCTGGCAAGTGATACAGATACACTTACCGATCTGATAGTGTCTCAAGCCCATATGTTTGTTGGAGAGCATAAGCCTCTTTTCACTTTTATTAAAGTTCTCTTTCTGTTTCCTGGAATAACATACTGAAGAAACCACTGCAAAGCTTTTGAGACAGATAAGAAAACAAACAGCTGATAGAACTGCATGTCTTGTTTTCCTATAAGCAAAATTAGGTGTGAGGCCACTCTAGTGGGGCAAACTTAAGAAGTCTAGCTCAGATTTGTTTGGGTTTTCTGCTGTTGTTTTCCTGCATTGTAATCTATTTGCATACTTGATCTTCATGTATTTTAATTTCACAGGCAAAACTAGCATAAATGGCACTTTCTACTGTAAAATAAAAATATATTTATAACCCTTTTTTAAAAAATGAGATACAAATAAGTCTCTCTGCCATTTAGACTACAAAGACTAGGCATAAAGGTCAGTGTGAATAATTCCTTGCTTTTTTTCAGAAACAGAAGATGAAAAATCATCAATAGCCAGGATAAACAAAGATTTTTGGACTACTAAAAGGGTTAAAATAGCAAAAAGAAAGAGAAAAATTATTCAAGAGAAACAAAAGGTGGAAGCTCCAGTGCAAAAGAAGAAAAAGAAACAGAATAGCTCGGCATGAAGGCAGCTACTTTCTCTCCTGTACAAAAAGGAGTGCTGGTGTTGCCCTATTTTTTTATAAGAATCTAAACCCTAACAGGACATATACCTATGATCCAATGTATTGTTTAAAAGTAATTATTGTTCTTACCCTAATAAACTGACTGATCATTCTGGGAACTTTCCCTAAGTGAAGAAAGCCAAAATAAATTCATAATGTGTAATGTTTATATTTTTTCTATTAACAATACCGTACACTTTTTAACTGGCTCTGAAAAAGCCAGCTAAAATAATAAAAATAGCTGCATCTTTCTCAGTTACATTTTTGTTTCACTTAAATGCATATTAAAAACACGTATACTTTTTAGGGTTGAAAATGTTACTGTTCATTTGACTCAAGGTATGGTCTGACTTTGTCCTACATTTCTTTTCCTACTGTAAAAAAGAACATGTTAAAATTACTTAAAGTACAATGATCACATCCCATTCTTGCAGTCATGGAAAACTGTAAGTAATTTCTAATTTTTGACATGGACTTTATAAGCACATTTGGCTTTTTTACTGTGTTCATACTTGAATATATTTAATTTTTTTAAAAAATCTTTGCACCCATGGTTCACATCACTGAAACATCTTGCTCAGAATATGATACATAATTTTAGGCAGAAGAGTTTTTATATCAATAAGGTTTAACCTTTTCTTCCCCCTTCCCAATGTTTTTTCTCAGTCCTTGACCTGAGCCATGTTTTTTATAAAAAAAGAATTATACAACACCTGAAATTTTTGGCATGCTGCTAAAATGTCACCTCTTATGTTTGCACTTAAACAAGAAGTAAATTCCTGACCTTCTCAGTCAATAGGAACAGGAATTCATCCTAAGCCTTATTACAAATATACAGTGGGAAAACCAAAGATGAACAAGGTCAAAGAGGTAAACTAAATGTTTCCTTTATTTTAAGGTGTAAGGCATGTTAATGTTGTTTTCTGCACTACTGGAGTAGTCATTACTATTTCTGTTTTCAAAGAGTAATGGGAATTATGCTTTTTTCTGATTCACTTCATCCATTCCTCCTTAGTTGTGTAGCAAGAGAAAAACTAGAGAAAATCAGAAAAAAGATTGAGCCAAATCTGGAGACAGGAATGCAGGCTGGTTTAGAGATATAAAACAGAATGTAACTCCAGTTCAGCTCTGTGCTCTGACACTGAAACAAAATGAGCATCATCAGTGCTGTTACAGAATTGTTCATGTGGCAGTAGCAGTATTCTCTTGGAAGTGGGTGTCCATATTTACCTTCTGTAACTGTTTTCCTTACTTAGATAAATGAACAAAGCCTCTTATTTGGGTATCCAAGATAGTTGATTTATGCAAGTTCAGTTTATTTCAACATTAAAGAGATTAAGTTTGAGCTTACACAGCTTTTAATTTTAATGATATCCTAAATGTTTGTGTTCACAAACACATGCAAATAATATAGGACTTCAAATGGTTTGTTAACTTGACAGAAAGGTGCCAGATTTTTAATTCCTAAGGCTTCTATAGTAAAAATAAGAATTAAAAAGCGTAAGATTAAATAAGGCAATTGTGTACGGCAATTGTTTACAGCAATTTCACTTGTAAAGTCTTATGTCTATTTGATAGTGCTTATCTTATGTCCTTGACAAAATGTCTGCCACTGCTAAACTGTTTTTATTGTTTGAATTTTTAAATACATGAGCTCATGGACACAGTGATCACAGTTGCAGAAGCACTAGGAAAAAAATCCAGTCTGCATGTAATTTTAAGATTAAAAAGCAAAAATTCCACAGAATTTGGATTCTAAAGTTTGAACTTAGAAGTAATTACACATTTGTAAAAATCTAAATCCCCTGTGTAGCAACAAAGAATTATGCATGTCACGAGACTCACGAACAATTTGTGAACTGGAGACAAAGAACAGTCCTTAGGGGAAAACCCATATTTTTTATACCTTGAGTGAATACTCTGCTGCTAATGAGTACTTTGCCATTTGTTGTTGTTGTATCTTTGTGTACATCTTCCTTTTCAGCACATTTTCCATTCTAGTTTTCAGGGAACTGCTTAGAATGGTAGAGGGGAGGCAGCAGTGCAGAGAGAGGAAACGTCAGCAGTGACAAAGCTGTCCTTGTCAGAAGGGGTGGGTGTGCATGACACTGGGAGAGCAGATGGAGCCATAGCTGCAAGGAGCAACAGCTCAGGAAGCAGCATCTCACCTGAGCCCCAGGTGAGTTCAACAGCTCCAGCAGCTGTGGATTTCTACCAGTTTCCTTCTTCCCCTTTTGGGAAATCCCTGTGCTGGATCACAAAGCAGAGCCCAGTGAAGCTTGAACATCATAGCTATTACATAGCTTGAATTAAAAAGGAAATACCATCTGTATGGTATTTCCATAATGCCATTATAGCTTAGATATGTGTTGGTTATGGCACTTGGCACAGAGGGAGGAGATTCCTACTTAAACCACTGAGGCCAACAAAGGAATTAAAGTCTCCCCACTTTCTGACCATTATGCTTATTCATAAAGATGGCAAAATCTGAAATGCAGTACAGAAAGCTGCATTTTGCAGAGAGTACAGGCCTCTCATGTTTTATGCCTTCTATTATGAAGAGAAATCCCCTTCAGTTTAGGGATCTGGCTACAGGAGTACTTTTTCTTTCTATACGGTGAAACATCCATGGAACAATTCAAGTAATATCATCAATTTATACGAAGAAAATCCATTTCAGCACTCAGAAAAGAGAAAGAGTTTAGCTTTGTAGGCAGTAGTCATCTCTACATTTTTCCAGGCCAAAAAAAATGCCAAACATTTTCTTTACAAGATGTTTTCCATCTCCTACTGTTGAATAACTTCTACAGCAGACTGCTTTTTCTGGTGTACTAGTTTGTCATCTGGAGGTCCTAGAAATCCTCTACGTGCTCTGTACAAGAGCTATACTGAAATTACTGATCAAAGCTGGAAGCAGCCTGTAGGCTGCCCAGAATTGTAGCTCATGCTACACCAAAACCCAAGCCCAAATTCTCAGCTGTACCACGTAACCCCACTTCTGGATGAGGACCGGGACGGATTAGGTGCACACGGCTGCAGTTCCGCAGGAGCTTTGCCCCTCACTGAACAGGAGCACAAAACCTGGTCTGTACTGATTCAGTTGTAGGCACCAGGGCTTGCTCAGGAATCCCCAATGTGAAAAATGCATGTATTTTATGATTGGCTTTTTGCAAGTATTAAAATGAATATTATATGTGCTGTGTTAGAAAGTAATGCTGTATTCTCTTAAGTACTGTGTTAAATATAGTTTTAGGTTATAAAAAATGTTAAAATAGAAACTATGCTATGTAGGATACTTTTTTTAAAGAAAGGACTCGCAGCGAGATAGCAGCCACAGGACACCTAAATCTTTCAGAGAAAAAGAATTTATTGCCCTCTTCCCACAAGAAACGAACTTCTTCCCGACTCGAAGGCGCTGTTAGGATTCAGAGGAAGAAGTTGACACTGACCAGACAGAGTCCTGTATTTGAATGGAATTTATGCATCATGTATGAAGTGTATGAATATGCAACAGGGTAAGGATTAATCCTCTGTTAGGTGTCCTTTTTCGGGCTCGTACTGCCCAAAAAAGGTACCCGGACGTCCGTAACTCTTTGGTTCTATTGTCTCATATTGTCCTAATTCAAATTATCCAAATTATTATTACTCTAATTGTATTACTATTTTTATAACCATTTTATTACTATTAAACTTTTAAAATTTTAAGAACAAGTGATTGGCGTTTTTCACACCCGACACTCGCCTCCCGCCGTGCCGGGGATTCCCAGGAGCTCCGCACGTAGGTGCAAAGACACCAGCGCCTCCTTCTCCGCAACCCCTGGCTGCGGGCCTCACCCTGCCCTGCCTCTGGGGTGAGTTTCTACTTGGGTTTCGCGCTTGGAGCTTTCCTTTCCTTCCCCACAACAGCCGGAAAAGGGAAGCTTTGGGCGGTGCGTGGCTGCCTGGCCTCCCCTTCCGCCGCCTGCTCCGCCCCGGTTGCTGCGGAGCGAAGCGGCCGCGCCGGTGGGACGCGGCGGTGTCCCTGTGCCCCCGGGGCTGCCTTCCCTGCAGAGCCGCCTGCATTCCTTGGGCTCGCCTCAGGTCCGAGGCTTTAGGCAGGTCTTGCTCGTGGAAAAGCTTGCCATAGCAAAATGCTTTGCTTTTTTAAATTTTTCCTCCCCTGAAAAAGGTTAAGAGGTGCTGAGCTTCACCCCAGTTTTCTCTTCCAGGGTTCGGCATGGCAGTGGACTGGCTCGGCTTTGGCTACGCCGCCCTGGTGGCATCAGGGGGGATCATTGGCTATGCAAAAGCAGGTAGGGTGCCGAAAGGTGCTTCTGTCTCTCTCCCTCTTCCTCCCCCCCCAACCCCTCCTCCCCCTCCCCAATAACTTGGTGTGAGCTGGGCAGCTTTTTACGAAAACCTCCTAATCTCGAAGTTGACCATATGTAAATTTTATCGGTTTGTGCCATGTGCTGATAACTTGCTGCTGGTGGGGTGTGCTGGATTTTGAGTTGAGCTGGTGCTTTGGGCTGATAAGGCCATAATCTGCCTTCTGGAGGATGCTGATATCTGCTCTGTGGTCTTTGGGTGAACTGTCATAAGTTTGCTTCAGAAAGGCTTTTTCTTTGTTGTTTAAAATACAAGCATTCTGTAAGTGTTCTATATCTTCAAATGACATAAATCACCACTTTTCCTCCTTACGAGATTTATTCCTCTTTTAATCTTTGATGATAACAGTATACTGCAAGCTGCAGAGAGCTTTCAGAACTATCTTTTCTCCAAGTAGAGCTGAGCAGTGCAAATCAGTCCTTAAATTTGTTTCTCTTCTGGGCTCTGCATCATAAGCTTACCCTCTGACCTACTGCTTTCATTTCCTGTCCTTTTTCTGAGTTTGCCCTCCTCCAGACAGAACTGTGGATTCATTTCTGCTGCAACACTGTCTATTACAGCTTTGAAAATCCCTAAGCCGTCTTAGTTTTTATGATAGGAAGGGGCATTGCTGAATTCAGTAAGACTCTAACCAATGCGTTTGACTAGACAGATGCTAGTGCCTATTCCAGTCTGTTTTCCATTGGCCTAGATTTATCCTTTGGGTTGTGAGTGGAGTTTAGGACAGAAGGAACAATACTGATAACTTAAATAACTCATTGCATCTGTATTTCTCCAAGGCCATTATGAAATGATGGGTGTCTTTTTTGTCCTTTGGAACCCTATTGGGAGGACATGGTTATGTTCAGGCAAGGGAATCCAGGTCACAAGATTATTGAAGGGGAACAGAAACTCTTATGGAAACTGCTGGAGAGAGAAAAAAAACCAACCATACAAAGGAGCCATTATATGCTTATTATAACTTGGGGAAACCAAAAGAAAATGGAACTTTCATGCATAGAACTAAGTTGATTTGATCTGTTGTTTTACAACCAGATCTACCCACACAGACGGGGCAGTAGTAGGTGCCTTTGGAGCAGTATGAGAATATGGCAATCAAAGGGTGAGTGAGTGAGTGAGTGAGTGAGTGAGTGAGTGAGTGAGTGAGTGAGTGAGTGAGTGATTTATTTTTCTGTCTTCATTTAGCAAGTTCTCTGGATCCCTGTGTATTGAGATGTAGGAACTTCTTGAGCCAGAGGTGATGTGGTTGTCCTAGAAGTGTATGTGTCATATCTACTTAAACAATGCCTTGAGGTAAAATTCAAGGAAATTATGGATGTTTCTTAGCTCCCAGGCTTGTGGAAAGCATTGTAGCTACCACAGATTTATTTTAAACTCATATTCTGTGCAAAGCAGCCACCTAGTAGAGTGTGCACCTTTTCCTTGCACATGGCAAGTATATCAGGTGCTTTCAATCATCTTTGTATCTTGCTTTTTATACCACAAGCAGGATTCAAAGCAATATTACAGCAACCTTGTTGAGGATTGAAAAATGATTACTTTCTGGAAGCAATATGCAGTCCTCCTTTAACATTGAGAGAAGATCTTTATCAACTTAGTTTTTCAATCTCAAGTCTTTGAAAGGTGACCTCAGAAATTGAATGTATAAAGAACCACCTTCAGGAGCATGAAGTCCTTAATCCTCTGTTGGCCTTATGGAGGCCATTCACCACTCACAGTGATCATGCTACTTCATTACTTGATATACTCTATAAATCACCAATTTAGATGTGGTATTCTTTATTTTCTGGTAGCTTGGGATTATCATTTTTATTAAGGACCTGATTCAAAGTTGAGGTGCATTCAGGGAACCTTTTTCCAAAGGCTGCAGCTACCTTTGGATCAAATCTCAGGTGTACTTAGGAGATATGACCTCTCTTGTTCAGCTACTCCCTGCTCCTTGGAAATTCTTTGAATGCCCTCCTGCCCAGTTCCACTCACACGTCCTTTTTTCTGATCTTAAATTCTTACAATTTAGTCATTCTATTTTACTGCCTCTTGAAGAATTTTCATAAAACTGTTTTGAAGTAACATGCTTCGGTTTGTGCAAGGGAAACACCAATTCTTTTGCTTTTCTCACTGTTTTTTCAATCATGGATGTATTAATGGCTTTGCTGTTGGAGAACTAAATACTAATTCTGTATGTATCTTAGTAATTGAAGTGGTTCTTTGTGCTGATCAGCATGGTCTCAATATCTTAAAAACCCCCTTCTCTAATCTTCTTTATGTCAATGAATGATGAATGCCCATTTTTTTTTATTTTTATAATTTTTGATGTTTTACAAAACAGTTAAGCTGCTGACCAAGGTAATATTTAAGTTTCTAAGAAATGCATTATCTTCTATTTATTCAGGTAGTGTTCCATCACTAGCTGCTGGCCTTTTCTTTGGGAGTTTGGCTGGACTGGGTGCTTATCAGGTCTCACAGAATCCAAATAACATTTGGGTTTCTCTGAGTAAGTAATTTAAAATTTTATTTGAAAAGGATTATATTTACCCTATATATTTAAAATTAGTACCTAAAAGTCTTTGCAGAAGAGTTAAACACAGATAGTGTTACAAATCTAATTTCAGTGCTGTCTAAACTTAACTGAACTGGTGACTCCCAACATGCATCTGTCTCATACTGATGTGTTTGAAGGATCACAGTGCAAGGGAAGTGCTAATAAATGGGTTTCTGACCTATTTTTGCCTGGAACCTTGTACTTTGAGCATCCTGCAGGAGGCTATAGCATTTTGGGAAGTGGGATTCCCCTTCAGACTGACCATACCCCTAGCAGACTATTTTATTATCACAGAAAATGGCAAAGATTGTGATTGGCTTATTTTTATAAATGACAAATATGTGAAATTACAAAGGTGTTGATGCCTGGGGAGATTTTAGAGAGAAGCAAGCTTCAGTAATGCTGTTTCTTCCTTCTCAGAATTGGAGCTTCCCTTCCCCTGATTTGAGAAGGTAACTGTGGAGAGTTACTGCTTAGTCAGTGTTTAAAGAGCCACCACTGACTACAGCATTTTATCTCTGAAGCAGTGACAGAGCATCTGGCTCTTTGACATGTGAAAGTCAGAAGTCAAAGGGGAATGCCCAGCATTTCTCTCCACTTCACCTTTGTTTACAGGCAATCCACTTCCACTGGCCAGGCCAAAAGCTGTGCATGGTCAAGCTGTAATAACATAAACTGCTGATACAGCAAGCTGAAAAAGTGTGAGGTCAAGTGTGTTCCCAAATGTGAGACAGATACATTTCTGTAGCTCAGTAGCATATGGAGTCTTTTCCTCTTCATGCCTCAAAGTTTTTCAAGAAGATGTGTTCTGCTGCTGTTTGAAACAAAATTTCATTTTGAGGTGTGCATATTTTGAAGACAGGCTACTAATTAGAGCTTGAAGCATTTTAATACTGAAATATTTTTGTTTTATTGTGTGTTGGACTATGGTCCCAGTCTCTTACATATCTCATTATGTGAGATTAGTAAGTGTTCAGTGACAATATTTCGCTTGGTGTTAGGTAGGAAGGATGTCATGGCTAGGACGTTGTTGGAACATGTGTGTAGCTGTTACCACTGGGTAGCAGATGCATACTAAGGATAAGGATTCCATCAGTGTATGTTTTCCTTACAGTTTTTCAGCATTCAGTCTGTATTTGAGATACCATGTTCCAGGGGCTGTCCTTTCTATCTTACTGAGTCAGTGAAACTACCTGGCTCCTGTCTCTGTGTCCAGTGGTCAGGGACAATTAATTCTCACCTTGGTAATGCTTAGCACACTTCCCTTTTGAAGTCTTTAGAAAACAGATTAGTTAATTCTCAGAACATTACTACAAATTAAACATGATGCTACATATTAGACATGATTACTACAAGTTAGACAAATGCTCTCTCCTTTTTTTGAGAAGTGAGGGAAATATGTGCGCAAGTTTAGTGATTTGCCTGTGTGTGGAAGGAGTAAGTTCTAGAGCAGTGTATCATAAATTATTTCCAGTCTCAAAAAGAGCACATTTTGAAAAACAAATTTGAGAAGTATGTGCAGGAGGATATTGAGTGCACTGTCTGCTTGAACTTTATATAGAATACTTACTCTTTACAAACGGAGGCATTTTAAAATTTACACAATTTATTGACTCTCTTTGTCCATTAAGTGAAGTAACCCTGTTTCTCTTTTTATTGATGCTGCTACTTCTCCCTGTTCTGTTAGTTTTTAATTATGTTTCTCCCACACATGCATCTCTGCTGACTGGACTGTACAATCTCTCATTTAAGTTACTTCTGGAGCACTGACTGCTGTCATGGGAACAAGATTTTACCACTC